CTTCCCACGCTGCCATTCTGACCCGCGCTGCCTCGCCCCCAAGCCCCGTCCGGGACTTCCGCAATCAAAAGGCAATTTCCTTGTCTCCCGGCAAAGGAACAATGCTCCGGAGAGGGAGGGAGTCCCGAGGAGCCAACGCCTGAGGCTGCCAAGGGGGCCTGAGGCCAGCCAAGCTGCCCCCTGCCTCTGCTGCCGCCTCCCTAGCCAAGGGTCCCTTCCAGGGCTGCGGGGCTCTGCCTTCTCCTTCTCCTGAACTTTCACTTTTCCCCTCCCAGTGGTCCTCAACCCTGTTGTCATAGCTTTAAAAAGTGCTTGAGTGCTCTCACTTTCCAGCCCCCCTCTCCTCTCCACACCCAGCGTCCCCCTCCCTACCTTCCTTCCTATCTTCTCATCTGCTTTCTCCAGGGCCTCGTTTCCCAGGCTTAAACTTGACCGGAGCACATTTCCCTGGGTCGCCCACACTCTTTCCTGAAGCCTTTTATTAGAGGGCTTTAGCCCTTCTCACCTCAAAACACCCATTTGTCACTGTTGGCATCCTTTTGACATCAGCAGGGGAAAAGACCCTCAAAGAGCCCGCCCATTATCAACAGGACCGTCCTTTCTCCATCCACTTGCCCAATTCGCTTGCATAGGTCTGTGGGTTCCCCAAATCTTACGAAAATACTGTGAACCGGCAACAAAATAATCACATCACCAAGGTACACTCCCATAACTCAGCGTCCCACACCTTCCAATAAAGTAGGCTGCGGTTTTCCCCGCATCATCTGTAAGATCCAGGACGACTGTCATGTAACCTGAAGAAATCTGTGTGTCAAAGCGGGTCCGAGAAGAAACTCAATCCAAAAAGCGAAAGTACTTAATAAGGTGATAATAATGAAGCTTTGCAACCACTTTTATAGTTTCAAGGTTTTGAGCTGTTTAATAAAAAATATAACCCCACTGAAATGACTAAGGTAGGGGCCAAATACTATTTTGATTCCATCTTGTGCTTGTTTAAGATGGTTCTTAGCTCCCCACACCCCCTCCCTATAACTGTCATGTCTGCCTTGGCAACACATTTAGATTTCATGCCTTGATTATGGTTCCAGATGTATTAGGCAAAATAACTGGCAGGTTTTGTTTAAAATGGCTACTATGCTCTGGCAAGAATGAGCGTTTTAAGACTCTCTGACCCTCATCTAACTTTGATGAATCGTTGTGGGTTTTGCCTTTATACTGTATCCCTGAGCTAGGACACCAAGTGACTTCCAGACTTGTGAGGCCTCTCTTGGTCTGGCCATTAATAAAAGACTCAAAGGTCTTAATTGACTCAATCAGCATGGTTGTCAATAACTGTCTCACATGGATCGTTACACTGCCTTTCCAATCATTGCAGGGGCATAAGGCACCCACTTCTGCACCTACATTACAGAGTGGATACACTTACGGCTCGGTTACTTATGTCTACTATACACTTTAAGGGAAAGTAGCAAACTTGAAGAAAGTGAAAACCACTTCAGTGCTTTTGGAAAATATGCTTGCCAATATTTCTTAATGAAAAACCGAGTTTGTTGCTTTTCAGAGACTTCTGGGCTTTAGAAGTAGAGACACATAGGTCTGCAATCAATCTTGCAACTCAGCATGCTCACCAAGCACCAAACACCTATGTGCTTTGGGAGACTGCAGCACGCCCTGTTCTTCACCCAGGGTGCTCGTCTCCCTGAAAAACCATTTTCATTCTCTGTCCCTTCACCCACTCTTCACAGTCGGGCACACCTTTCTCTCGGTCACTGGTATCCTGCTTCTTCCCTCCATCAGCTGCGTGTTTCAATACAAGCACCAACTGCCTTGAGTCTTGAGTGAAGTTTCTTTTTAGCTCATTCCTTGCTCCCCTTTTCATACCTTTCTGTGTTCAGAAAAGGCTACCTCGGTCGAAGACGAAGAAGGATGTTCTAAAGGCGTCACAGAGAGAGCTATGACGCCATCACAAACGTGAAAACAACTTGGCGAACCTCATTTGAAAAAGTCCAGCAACAGGTGCAACGTCCGCATCAATTTATCTCATTGTTTTATTTTTGGTTCTCTTTTAAATTCACTCATTGCATAGGCCCCACTTATTAATTCCTGATGTTTAGGTTTTTCGTTGTCATCTTCTCTGGAATTTTAAATTTTTCTACTTGATTTTTTGATTTATAGGGACTTAAATATACTAAATATTCACTGTCCTCTGGAAATCTTCAAGCAATCCTATCTTTCCCTCGCTCTCACACACAAACACAAACAGACTTGTGCACACACGTATTCTAGCATGTTGCATCCTTTTGGACTAAACTTTCTAACATATAACACAATATATAATGTAACTAATAATCCTTCCTTATGACTTACAAGAGTATATCTGAAGACATTTGAAAAGGAACAAACAGAGGCTGTAGGAAACACTTTCCCAATATTGCTGCTTAAATACTTCCCAATTAACAGGCACCTGCCAAGAGTGCTCCCAGGAACCAGGTCAAGAATGCTCCCACGGACCCATCCAAGAGTGCTCTTAGGCACCTGTCAAGAGTGTTTCTAGGACTAGGGGCTGAGAAAATGAGAATTCATGTTCTTAAATCCATTTTTAAATTTTGATCTATCAAAGTTGAACATGTATGCTCAGAGTAATTGAGGTTAAATAATTTTTAATATCCTCAACATAGATGAAGAATCATATCAGAACATGATGGAAAGGGCCAGTAGTTATAAATTCTTCTTTTCCAAAGTTATATAACTTTGGGCTTTTAAGTTATCATTGTTTTATCATTATCGTTTCAGGGCTGACAACAGAGCTTCCAATACATTACGGGTTCAGTATAGCCCACAAAAATTAATATACAATGAGAGACAACAGGTCTGACTTAATCTTGGACTTTTTGTGACTATATTTTTCCTTCTGAAATAATAAATGCAGGGACTGGGGAGGGTGCTAAGCAGCTAAGAGCACTGTTGCCTTTGCAAGAACCTGGCTGCATTTTCCAGAACCCACACGATGATTCTCAAGTATCCGTGACTACAGTTCTAGGAGGTCTGTCGCTGTTCTGACCTCATGGGCACCAGGCAGGCATGTGTGTGGTTCACACGGCATAACTACAGACCAAACACTCTCACACATATAAAACAAACAGAAGTTTTAAAAATTGGAATCACAGCTACCGTATTAATATGCAAATCTGCAAGCATAGCTACATGTTGCAGGAGCACAGAACACGTCCCTGAGGTCATCTCTTGGACAGGGAGTGTATGAAATTCTGTACATAGTATAAACACGTTGACTCGCTTCTTATTTGTTCTCTTTGTTTGGAATTCCTCAACTGCTTTTGAGCCCATTTGTCCTATAATATGGCCCTATATTTACTTTTAGAAGTCATTGCATTCCAGGAATGGGGGTCAGCCATTCTGCCCCATTACAGCGGCATAACCTTTTCCCTTTGTCATCAGGAAACCTTTCCCAGACTCCCCAGGAAGGGTGTGGCTGCCTCTGACTAGACAGTTGTCTTCTAAAAATGGTGAAAAAATTCACGGTAACAAACGTGTTTGCGTTCACACAGTCCTTACTTACAAGCTCAGAGCTAAGGCATGAATCTTGTTACATTATGAACACAGATGATGAACTCACCACTCACCAGGGGCAAGAGCCACTGCTTGGGAATGGCAACTTTATTTCTTTATATATTTTTCATGCTTATTTGCTTATTGCAAAGAGCAATTGAAAGATGTAAGCAAACAACTTTATAAGAGGGGTACAGGGCAAGGTGTAAAAGGCTCACCCCCATGGGGTCGGGAGCATGTCACCCTTGGAAGCCCAGGGATATGTTCCTTCTCATCTTCCTGGAAACCCTCCACCTCAGACACTTGCCTTTTGTAGATATTTTATGAAGTAGGGCTGGTTGAACCATTGGCCGCTGGTAATGAAGTCCAACTTCAGCCCTTTCCCCTCCATGAGACTCCCTCCAAGCAACCATCAATTCCCGCCCCTTGCCTCCTCACTCTTGTTAAGTGTTTATCAGTGGTGCTTCTAAAAAATCACATCCAT